GATTTGTGGTACTTGCTGCTCATGTCTTGTAATCATCTACAGCTTACATTTGGCTGTCGAAATACTAGTTGTCAAATACCAGTTAAATACCCTATCTGTACATTGACTGCTAAGGTAGCAAAGGATTTTGGTCAAAGCAAATTTGTATTTTTATACTGTGTTTTGCAAACCCCACATTTTTTCCTCCTCTGAGATCCCTGGCTACTTTCAGAAAAGTTTTAAAACTGGCAGCTGAAGTAAAATTGGCTTCTGAATTTTAGCCAGCAGAACTCCTGGGCGTTTCTCAAATTTCATTTGATTTCTTTCTCAGACTTTCAAAGACAGCTGCCATTCTCTACTTCTGAAATTGAATTGAAACCTGTGTTTGACTGCTTATCTTTCTGTGTAGTGCCTAGTGTACTACCTATAGGTTTGTGCCGTGAAATTTAAACCATGGCTTTAAGTTGAAAACATAAGGTCTGTGGTGAAGATAAAATTATTAGGTAAGATTGTGTTTTCAGTTAAAGATTTAACACTGCTTGAGACATAACAGCTTGAATAGATGTTCTTGTCAGGGTGTACTCTTTGTTTGCTAAAAAGGATCTGGTCATACAGCTGCTCTAGAAGTAGTCTTCACTCTTCAGTTAGTCCTTGTGACTTGGAAAGTAAATAGGAAGTTTGTAAAGAAGAAAGATTAGATCAATTCTTAGGCGTACTTAATTCAACAGCAGTGGTTTTGTGACCTTACCTAAAAAGGTACCATATAGCAGCTTGCTGCTGTGTAGGTGGGCGGTGATGTAGTTTGATGGGCACAGGGTTAAAATGAATTTACCGAAACATTCACAAATACCATCAGATGTATGGGTTGTTGATGACTACTTATGCCAACATTAAATCTCCCAGAAATATTTCTGTTACTTCTGTCCTGAAGCAAAGCACTGATGGCAAAGTCTCCACCTTGTCACTCTGAATCAATGCAAATCACTGCTCTGTCTAGCAAAGAGGTAGTTTCTATTGCAAGCACCAATTTTTTTCTGAAGGACTATTGCAGACAAGGATAGAACACTTGTCACAACTATAAAACACTTTTATGTGTACAGAGAGCTGAGTTAAAACTGCATCTATAGATCAGCATTTTACAGCTTCAAATAGGCTATAAAGATAAAATACATACTTAGTTTTGTGAATCAGATCCAAGATGTTAAACTGTATAAAAGTTTGAGAGAAACAGCTATTTATAGATATGGCTGCAGAGTCCCTGAATCAGATGTATATTATTTTCCCATTCCAAAGTTTTAAATATTTAAAAAATATACTTAAAATATGGAAGCCAGATTTTGTATGTGCATTTTTGTCAAGGCTTTAAAAAATTAATGGCTTTCTCCAGTCTTTTTTTTAATCTAACCATTACATTTACTGTTCAGGAACTTTGATTTTGGATTTAGAAGTCAAGCAAAATTTAATGTTAGAAAACCAATGCAAACTTTTAATATGAATTTTATCTTCCAAAATCTTTTGGGTTTTGTGGTAGCAATATGTCTTGCCATGTCTCTAGCTACATGGAGATGGATGCCTACTTAATTTTTCCATGGGTGAGTGAGAATAAAGATTTCTAGAGCAAATGAGCCACAGTTCAAGAAATGGGAAATCCATTTCTGTCACTGAATTAAGGTTTGACCCAGTGCAAAGTGCCTAGCAATGTGGCTTCTCTTCTTAGTAAGCTAATTTGGTGATGGAGTTGTGGGAGGCAGTTTGGAGATACTGTGGTGCCTCTTTGCCTGCCAAGGCAGCATTCCTAATGCTGCATGGCTTTCTCCCAGTGAGGAAGACTACCAGCAAGTGTGGGATGAACTCCCCAGGTTTCTCCAGGTGTCCTTTCCATCCTGGACTTTTTCCTATCCTTTGCAACACAACTTGCTGTCCTCAGTCATTGTTTTTGCAAGCACAGGCTGTTTATCAGTGTTGACTACTGAATGTGTTGTTCCTGTTTCTGGCCGCCTGTGGCTCACGGCGAGCAGGGAACAATGTTTCTGGCTCAGGAAACTGGTATCTGCGTTGGCCGAAGTCCTGCATATGTCCCAGCCTGATCCCTGATTCTGATGAGCACCGTCTGCAAGCTGCGTAATGAAACAGAGGGGCTCTAATGATGTGACAGTCTGCTGGTGCTGAACTGTGAACGGCATCCTGACGATTTAGCAGCGGAAGGCTGATTCTTAACGAAATTGGCCCCTGCAGTATCTCAGGCGAACAGAGCTGTAACTTTTTAATGACTTCTTGAAGACAGGTCATGGTTCTATAATTATCTCTGTCTCTGAATATACGGGAGCATCATTCCATTCCTCTCTCAAAGGGTTTTACCCGGTTTTCTCCCAAATTGTCAAAATTGCTTAACAGTTGGGATTGGTGTGTCCTTGGTGCTTATTTTAGTCATTGTAGACAGACGTACTTTTTACCCTTATTATTTGTATGCTATTTGACTACCAGTAAGTGAATTTGCAGCACTTAAGGTGATATTTATTGATGACAGAATGCACAGACTGACCTACTTTTCTGTGCACTACCACCACTGAATATAACCCCTTGGAAGAGAAATGAGAAAACTGCCAGAAAGACTGGTATAAATGATTCGCAGAAGACTATATGATCAAATACTATTGAATAGTATAGCAAAGCCACATCACTGTATCTACTGAAAAATATAAAATTTGGTTTAAATAAATATATCATGTGTGCTGCTCAGAAGGTGCAGAAAATAACAAATGTTTCTTTGATCAAATCCAAAATTAGAGGTTTTTTTCTTGTTAGAAAATTATTTTACATGCACTTAAATAGTGTGATTTTTAGAATTACAAGCATCTTCTGGTTACCCTAAGAAGTCTTTGTGTTGTGGTCATTCTACAAATTTCTAAGAGAAATTTAAGAGAGAGTTTGATTTCTAAGGGTGTTTTTTTTTTAGTTTCCCTGCTGGTCAATTCTGCCACATTTGTGCAAAAAAACCCCAACCAAAACAAAAAAAACCCTTTATTTCCTCCCAGGTCCTGTGGTACTGCAGATGCCTGTCCGTTATGTTCCCACACACTATACCTCCTTCAGGGAGCCTTCATCAAAGGTGATTTTAAAAGGCATAAGCAGAAGGAGTAATACTTCACTTTGTGAAAAGCTGCAGGTTATTGGATATCTTGCATATTCCTCTGTGTCACCATCTGAGGGGATGTTTGTTAAGCAACACGGCCAGTCTCCTCGTGAACACCAGTTGCAGGAAGCGTGGAGAAAAAAGATGGTAAGATTGAAGATACTGGTTTTGCTCTTCAGACCTGCCTCCTCTACTTCGGTCTCTTACAGCGGTTGCGATTCAGGAGTGTATGAAATAACTGAGTCTTACCGGGTGGTAAAGAGATTAAAATGACAAGATGTATCCAAAAAAAACTGGTTCTCATCCTGCTGGGATTAACTGGACATCCTTGGGCACTTACGTTTTAGCCTTCATGGTCTGCAGCTCCTGACTGTCAGGAATATTTGGCTTCCGAGGCAGATACAGCTTTTGCTGAAAAGATTGTCCACTGGGTAGGTGCAGACTCTGGAGAGCACATTTCATCTGGGAGGTGGACAGAGATTTTGAAAAGCTGTAGGCTTGCAGGCAGGTAGAAATTACTAAATTTGGATTTATTAGTTGGATTGGTCCCTCACTTAGAGATGTGTGGACAAATTTCTGTTGGAGGCAGAAAATAAGTCTCAAACACATTAATTAATACATTTTATCCAAGGTTAAGGGGGAAAAAAAGGTGACAGCTGCTTTCACAGCAATGTTCTATGCCATTCCCTTGTTAGGAGAGAAAAATACCACAAATCATTGTGAAAGGTTGGTTAAGTAGATTTTAGTTTGAAACTGATGATTCTGCAATGTATGCTTGGCTACAGCTTTTTAATTAGCAGAGAGTAGTTATTCCAAGAAGACTGGCAAAATTTCTGCGCACCTTGCTGACCATACCAAGTGGAGAAGGAAAATCAGCATTTGTGTAGTAGCTGCTTTGTCCTAATCTGAGAGCTCCAGCACTTTTAAATTACACACTGACTTTAAAGATGTCTTTTGTATTTTTCTGGTGGATGACTGTTTACTTACAGTTTTTCAGTTCCTGTGTATTATTGTACTGCAGCATCTGTGCTCTTCAGAGTCAGATGTGTATTCATGTACCCTCAGTTTCTTTCTAGCCGTTGTCTAGATGGATATTTAGCTTATCAAGCTCTAAAGATTTCTCTTAGCTGAACTAGCAAACTGAGGGCAGAATAGAGTTTTCTTTATAATGGCTTATGCAACTTCTGTAGTGTCTTCTGATTTTTGTGAAGAACTTTATAAACACGGTTATTTACTGTTTTCCCTCAGGTAAAGTAGATGCTCATTTTGGTAGAGCTATAGTCAAATACCCATTTTAATAGACCTATTTTATAATTATAGAATTGTGGGGTGATTGGTGTTTGAGGGGACCTCAGCTCATCTAGTCCTACCTAATCAAAGCAGGGCTTGGTGTAAGGTCAGGCCAGGTTGTTCAGGGGTTTATCCGGTTGACTCTTGAAAAGCTCCAGAGATGGAGACTGCACAACCTTTCTGGGCAACTTGCTCCAGCGGTGGACTGTTCTCATGGTGGAAAAGTTTCTCCTTGTATCAAATCCGATCCTCTCGTTTCAGCTTATGCCTATAGGCTCTTGTACTCCCACCCTGCACCATTATGAAGAACTGAGCTGCACCTCCTTGATACGTCCTTGGAGGTCCTGGTGGGCTGCTGTTAGGTCACCCCAAAGCCGTGTTTTCTTCAGGCTGCACAAGCCCTGGCCATGCAGCCTCTGCTCAGAGGGTTAGTGATCCGGTCCCTACCAGCTTGGTTGCTCTCCCCTGGACTTGCATCTTTGTTGTATTGGGGGGGGGCCAAAGCTGGAGGCAATGTTCTGGATGTGATCTGAGTGCTGCGTAGAGGGGGATAATCCCTTCCCTTGACCGACTGGCCGTGCCCCTGCTAATGCCGCCCATGAGGCTGGTGGCCCTCTCTGCTGCTCGGATGCTGCTGGCTCATGTTCAGCTTGCTGCCCGCCAGCACCCCCACGGCCTGTTCCACAGAGCTGCCCCAGCCCGGCCGTCCCCAGGCTGTATCGTTGCAAGGGGTTGTTTCTTTACAGGACTTGGCCTTTGTCCTTGCTAAATTTCATGAGGGTCCTGTTGCCCATTCCTCCAGCCTGCCTGGGTCCCTCTGGATGGCAGTCCTGCACACAAGCATATCAGCTGGTGTCCCCAGTATGGTGGTGTCTGTAAACCTGATGAGTGCTCACTCTTCCAGAGCATTAGTTAAGGTGTTGAGCAGCACTGATCCCACAGTAGATCCCTGCATTGTGCAAGGTATATTTAAATAGTTACTTCTACTCTATCAACAAGCCTAAGTTTAATACGCCAAAGTAGGACGGCGTGGCTGATTGGCCTTTCAGTAGGAGTTGCCTTGTTCTTGCTGTTTGATAAACGGCCCTGTGCAGCCATTTTTATTAGGAAAACAAAAGCAGATGAGAGATCTCTATAGCTACTGTCCTCTCGCTTGTACTTGCAGGTGCCACGGTTTGTAGACTGCTTAATTGGGATGGATAACTGTGTGGTGGAGTGGTTTGGGTGGGAAGGGAAGAGCACCATGAGGTTTTTGATCGCTTGGGAGTTTCTGTTCTCTCTCTGAGATACCTGTTGTGGGTTTGGCCTTTTTTTTTTTCCTTAATAATATGACTGAGAGGGGAATATAGGTGCAAGAAAAAGATCTATTCTCTTTCATAAATGCAGTGACTGACATGATACCTGTGTATTCCACTCCATGCCTGCCATACTTGAGCCTTTCTCACTCTCTTACTATCCCCAAATCCTGTAATCCGTGGGCAGTTTCTTAACGGAAATGCAATTTTTGTCTACTTTCGATTTTTATGCCTTGGAGATCTAAGGTATCACTGAGTATCGCTGGCAAAACCAGTTCTGGGGTCTGACACCTCTGCCTCAAGAACAGAACATATATAAACAATAAAACCTGAAGACCAGAGTTCTGAAGAATAACTTCTTCAGAGATGGCTTTTCCTGGGTAGCTTCAGATAGAAGAAGGTGCTATGGAACTGAGCCTGGGAGTGGGAGCCAGAAAACCTTATAAGCAATTGGTGTGGGTTTAGTTGTTTACCTATTCTTATGATGAATGTACACAGCTACACCCTAAAAGCTTGTTAGTGTGTGGTCTTAAGCTCGTATTGTTTGATGAGATGATTACACTTCCCTCTTTGGTTGAAAAACAAAAGTCTAAACTACTCAGATACATCATTTGCTATTTAAACATCATTTTTACTCTTTCTTTTTTTCAGTGACAATGACAAATATTGGAGAAAAAGGTAAGATTTTTATCAGCTATTTATAAGTGGAATTCATATATCAGGGTAGTATAGTAGTTCACTAGTAAAATTGAGATACAGATCTAATCTGTTTTAAATAAGTGTATTTTTTTGTGTTCCTCAGCTCCTTTTGTTATGCTGCTGTTCCTGAATATTGCTTTAGCTTTTCCAAATAGAGATGAAAAAAATTAGAACTTTTTACACTTCTTACTGGCTTTCTGAAGTGTCAACTAAAATAATCCTTATAGTCTGTTTTTCAAAGTTTCTATTCATAACAAGGAAAGCCCTTTTAAAACCAGGACTTCTAAAGATGAGCAAGGTGTTTGTGCAGTGTGTGACATACTTAAATGGGAGGTGAATTTTTTCTGCGGTTTCATTTCAGCCAGTGTCTTTGAAGAAACAGAATCCTTCAGAAGCGTAACCTTTTCAGAAGCTAATAAAACTGCCTGATTAGCTGTCATTAGAGTTTCTACCCCAAGGCTGTAGCATGTTTAGGTTGCTTTTCCAGATGCTATTTTCATACTACAGCACAACGTAGAAGTGTAAAGTGTGGGGCTGCGGAGCTTTTGGATGAAGGGGGTAGGGATTAGGAGACAAGCTATATGCTTTTTACATTTCTGTAATTCGGGCAGGTTTTTCTAAGTCATTTGAGACTCCCTCACTTAGAGAAAGTGTTTGGCAATCAACAAGAAACATTCCCTTGAAAAACTTTTCAGTTCAGTGATCTTTCCTCTCCCCCCATACGAGTGCGTAAGCATATCTGCAAACTTCAGCACCTGCAAACTTGGAAGAAATTCCAGTTTCTTGCTGTTCCGTAGTGCGTGTGTGGGAGACCAGCGTGGTGTTAGGCATTGCTTACAAAGCAAATTAGAATTATCAGCAAAATGCGCTGGGAAACATTAAATTTCTTTATTTTTAGCTGCTCAAAGCCTTGGTGAGCTTCAGCCAGTCAGGAGAAATTTACCCTGGCTCTAGTTCTGCCCTGAGTGTTTTCAGGGGTGAAAACTGGGCAAATGCGGCTCAGCCCTGTTACAGGTTGCTGCATATTTCCAGGCAACTCTAGGTATGCTAGCTATTTGTAAATGGGTTGCTTTCAAGCAAGGGATACACCATTTGTTTTGGGGTTTTAGGTTTTGGGGTGGGGTTTTTTTGTGGGGGTTTTTCAGGTTGGTTTTTTTTTCCAGAAAAAGTGTAAAATAGAAGGATTTCTGCCCAGGGAGTTGCAGGCAGCTCTTGTTTTTCTGTCTCAAGAGAATTGAGGTTCTTATGTTGGACTCTCAACACCCACAGACCCAGTGGAGCAGCTGGATAGCCCAGGCTCTCCATTGTGGAGCAGGGGAACTGGTGGGTAGGTGACCTGGGAGAAGTGACCGCTCGGGACCTGGGCCACGTTGGAGAACTGAGGTGCAAGAGCAAACAAGAAGAGCTTAAATCTTGTGCAGACTTTAAAGGGGAATTATGGGGTAATGTCTTTAGGCTAAAATTTTGTCTCCCTCCAGTAGTCTTTTTTTTAATGTATGAAAAAGGAATTTTTTTATCAATCACAGTTACCGTTATTCTCACAACAATAAAATACAGATGCAGGTTAGTAAACGCATAGTGTACAGAACTGGTGTAACTTGCCCTACCTTGCCCTCACTTTATGCCATGAATATACTGCTGTTTAAAAAAAAAAAAAACGCTGATTTTGTTAGAGTAGATCAGGTTTTCTTAGAGTTGATAGAAATGTTCGGATGAAAATGTGGACTGTTCCTGACAGATGCTTGTGCAATAGCAAGATGGTCATTTAGTGTAATCTGGGATATTGTGGTTGAAGCGGAGTCCAGTTCTATCACTTACTTACGAGATTTTTTTCAGTTTATAGACATGCCATATGGCTCTTTCACCCTGTCATCCCAAAAGCTTTGTACAGTGTTGCTCTTCAGATTTTGTTAGCTTTTTGTTAGCTTTTGTTTGTTTTTTTTTAACAGCCTAGTGAATAAGAATCAATATTTACTGTGTTGCTGCTTTTTTTGGGCAAATTTCAACACCAGAAGCATTTATTCAGCATTACTTTTGAGGCAAAACTACAAAAAAGAAGAACATGCTGGGCTACTGTTCTTGCATTTATGCACACCATCATGCATATGTTATGGAATATTCTCTAGCACAGAATAGCATTACATATATAAAAACATGGGCTAACCATACGAGGGCAATACTTCAGATTGTGTAGTGAAAGTACACATTTCCCTTTATGGTGTTTTTTTGACGATCTTACAAATTTATAGAAGTTGCATAAAGAATGTTTGGCAGTGTAGCTTCCATATAACCCTGAGCTCTGTATGATCTGAGTTCATCTGTACAGCAGGGAAGTAATATTTTTCACTGTTGCTGTCCTAGCTGTCCTTTATTTGCTGCTTCTCTGCCCAAGGACGAAGAATCCAAGGAAATACTCTTTCTTGTGCATTAGAGCAAGTTAATCAGGGGATACAAGTTTTGGATTTATTATTTACTGTAGTGAATTGCTTAGTACAGTGAGAGCTTTTACATGGAAACACCTATCAACCCACGGCAGGCTCTTAGAAGAAGTTAGCGTTACCTTCTGTATTCTGGTAAAACAACTCCCATGGTAAATGTTGACTGACATTTATTTGAAAAATCTAAGAATAAATCACTGGCTGTGAAGAATATGAAGTAGTGAATGAACATTTGAATTTAAAGAACCTGCAGGTTTTTAAAAACCACCCTACTGTCCTCCCCCCTGAAAATCTAGCAAAACAAATTAACTGGTTATGGTTACTCTTCAGGTATCGTATGCATATCCACTCAAAGACTCCCCTCACTCTAGTCGTCGTCTAGGTGGCTGTACTTCCTTTTGAGGGGCTTCAGGGTTTTTGGGTTTTTTGTTTGGGTTTTTTTTGCATGGCTAGCAGTCTCCCTACATGGCATATAGAGCTAAAAAGCAGAGACGCATCAGTTAAATAGGATTTAACAAATGCGTAAAGGAAGAGTGCTTGCTAAGTAATTATGGGGCTCTAATGGGCTATTAGCCATTCCCCTGAAACTAATATATGTAGCCTGTGTCATGACTTCCCCCACACAGTCTGTCTCATGTAAAGTTGCAGTGCAATATTTTTGTTGCAAAGCTTTTGCAGACCTATGTATTTACATGTTAGAGTTACTATCTGTGATATGTACAGCATCTGTTTGTAAGTACTATAATATCATTGGTCTGTTTGTATTAATTCTGTTCCTTTTTGATTTTAGTTGTGTGCCTGGTTGCTTACCACATATTTTTCATGCTGTTCATCTGGTCATATTGGAAAACAATCTTTACGCTACCAATGAATCCTTCAAAAGAAGTAAGATAAACTTAACTTTTGTTTCTGAAATAGCCTAGTCAAATGCTTGATTTTGTAGTATTCGAGTAACTTAATCTCTGATCTCATGTAGTTTTACATGGTGTAGAAAAATACAGATGGTAGCTACAGCTTCTTTATAGGAGTATATCAGATTGCAAACAGCATAATGAACAAGTCAAAAAAAATTACATCTTCTCTAAGTTTTAAAGGTTTTTTAATAGATTTTTAAAATCAGGTTAATATTATGATATTAAGGAGAAAAAAACCTCTCCACGTGAAAAATACGAGTTATTTGAACTGGCAGCTTAAATCTTTGCATGGGGATATAGTACTTTTATGTGGGCAAAAAATGTATTTTCATGTGTTTAAGACTTATATTGCCTATCAGCATCTGTTTGTTGTCCTCTAAATTAAAGCTTCTTCCCCATCTGTTTTGGTATGAAGGAACTTGGGGGTTGTGGCATGAGTGCACAACAGGTAAGCTGATGCTGGGGAGCCATGGCTGGCTAAGCAGGAAGGGAGCTAGTAGAACAGCTGCATGGAAAAGAGGTCTGAGGTGAATATATACCCCAAATCCTAAATCCAGCTAGTACAGAAGTATTAAAGAAGAAGGATCCAGTTGTCTTGGAGAATATTAAGATACAAAACCATGTTCAACATGATGTAGCCTCAAGAGAATTGCTTTTAGTTCAGTATTGGGTTTTTTTATTGTTTGAATTTCACATTCTTTTTAACATTTTAAAAAAAAAAGGAAAGAGAAAACTGTCAATAGCTTTGATGAAAATCCGCCCTACGCAGCTTGGTACAACCAGCGCAACTTTTTGGCCCCTTCCATCCTGTCTTTGTACAGAAACACCACAGTCCGCAGTAGGTGCTGCGTCACACAACCTCTGAGGTCAAGAAGAATCATGCTACGGCTGCTTTGGCGTTTGAAGCATCCACAAAGCCAACACTTATTTCATCATGGACTCACAACTCTAGCTGCTATAATTACCATGCCAACACAAAATAAATAGCTTGTGATTTCTGCTGTCTGTTGTGCAGAGGTTCTTGTCTGAGTAGTTTTCATTCACTAATATGTAATTGTGGAAACAAGTAGATAATTCAAAGATATTGTAGATAATTGGCATCTTCCTTGAATTTCACACTGCAGTCTTTACTACAGCTTGGGGCAGAGAGGAGGAAAACAGATGAATAAACTATTTCATTTGGTAATTACGTAGCAAAATACATGCCTATATATGGGGGCTGTAGTGGTAATTAGAAGGGTTTTCAAATCACTGGGCTGATGCCAATAAAAGACTCTAAAAACGTTTTGACAAATCCTTAATAATTATAGTGGGATTCCAAAGCCACCATACAATGCTACCGGAGAACCTCAAATGGGATATTAAAAGTACTGAAGTTGGGTAATAGAAAGCAGTGTGTGATGTTTCTGTGTTCTTTGAATTTGCACAATGTTGCTGCCAGTAAGTGACATCTTTTGTTGTTCTATGTCTTTTTCCTAATCTACTAGAGCAGTATTTTTAAAATTTAATTAGTGTATTTGTAACGTTAAGTTACTGCTTGGCTTCCAGTTCTAGAATGAAGTCTGCAAATGTAAAAGGATGTGTTTTCAACTTAACTGAACTGACTTACCAACTATAGCAAGTATTTGTTTGAAGACTGAAAAACAGATAAAGCTTTTGGGTTTTGTTTTCATGAATACTGGAGCTGGTGCAAACCACACAGCCTGTATATTTATTTTTAAGTTTATTTCAAATTTTTACACGTACAAAAAGCACTAAAGTTCTGGCACCGTGGCTTGGAATTTAACATATTGCTAATCTGACATTTTTCTTTTGAAGTTCGATGTGTTATCCCCACTCCTCCCATATTGGAAATAATTGTCCAGAGAAACACTTCAAACTCAAGCCAGACTGTGCTACGCTAATTACGGTTGTGCCCATACGCCTTGTAAAGCTTTTGAATAGACAATTTTCTTCCTTCCCTGTCGTGAGAGCTTGTGAGTTAGGAACTTCTCCCAGTGGTAGAGGAGAACTTCTGTAGTTGAGGATGTGCTGCGAAGGAGCCATCTGGCTGCAGTTTCTCTTTAAGAGACTTTGAGAGACTTCACTTCAGCGTGAGCCGTTCTGTACCTGTGTGTACCAGCATGGAGATGGTTTCCCAGGCGGGAAGGTTTTGTAGACTTAGGACTACTCTGAGAACCAATACAAAATGATGGAGCGATAACCTTATGTGCTTCAAACAGGAAGCATTAAAAAAAAAGAAGTATTCTGAACCAAGTTTCTGCAGTGAGAAATCCTGTGTATTCCAAGATAAATCAATTTAGGTCTTGGGAAGAGTGTATTCTTGCTAGGGAAAAATGAAAAGTGACCTGAGAAACTCATGCTGAACAGTGAACCTTCGGCCTCTGCTGGAAGATTGTGAACTTTGTCAGGGAGGTAGAGTGGTTCCTTCTCTATGGAGGTGAGAAGAGGTTCCTGACTATGTGTTTGTCTGTTTTCTTACAGACAGAATCATTTTCATTTAGGATCACTTCCATTTAGGAAAAACTTTAATGTTATTATCATGACTAGCCTTCCTGTAGACATAAATGCTGTGCAGAAGGCATCTATTTCTGGTACAGGTTAGAGACAGCCACTCTTCCTGCCAAATATGGACTTCTTTTCAGAGGTGATTTGGTATCCTATTTCTCTGATAGCGGTACCAAAGCCTTCGGCATCTGCCCATTTCTAGAAGCTACAGTGACAAAGCTGACTGTTGCTGTGTTGCAGAGGTCTTTAGAGTGTAAGAAATTTGGACTACTTCATGATACCATGCATCTCTTTCAGCAATTTTCACCCTCTCGGCTCTTACTAGAACGATGTTTGTCATTGCCATTTTGGGCAGTGACAGAAGTTGTCCTTTTACGCAGGAAGATGTTAAGACGTGATTATTCTGTCATACAGGACACCCATCTCTTCCTTCTCTCAGCCAGTCTCTGAAGTAAAAACACAGCCTAACACCTGCATGAAGAGAAGAGCAACTCTCCAATGGCAAAGAATAAAAGGGAAAATGCCTGACACGAGAAGAGAAATAAAGCTATCTTTTCTGCTATTTCTAGTAGCGAATTTTCTTTCAGTTAACAACTGATATTCCTTGTTTATATTCACTAGTTGATATTTTGTATTACAGAAGTAAATTAACTGACCTTCCAAGGGAGTGGTAAGCTCTTGATCCTCCTCTTGAAGAGTGTTGCTTATTACTTCTGGAAGTATTCAGCATTGCATCAATACCAAATCAGAAATAATTTTAATTTTGTCTTCAATTGCCATAAACTAAATTAGCAGTCTTAGGAACATGGGGTTATTTGCTGTAATACCTTGTATGTGCTGCTAATCCATCTTTACATAATGAATATTTATTTCTCTCTACGTCTCTACGATACTTACTTAACTTGAAATTTGCTAACATATCTTTGATTTTAAAAATTTTTCCAGTTTCATCTATCATATTCAGACAAGGAGTCCTTAGAGAGGGAGCCTAGAGGTGAGTCCCAGCAAGAAGTCTTAAGACGGGCAGCCAAGGATCTTCCTATCTATACACGGACAATGTCTGGAGGTAAATAGGTGTTCAGGAGACCATGGAAGGCAGGTGTCTTGATGTGCTACCTAAACTAATTAAAAAAAAATTTCAGGGGTTTGCATTGTAGGGAAGAACTGCTTTTCATACTTCATAAAATAACAAAGTGACCCAAGAACTTAATGTTGATGTAGCTTTATGCAGCTACATTTATTCAGTGGAAAGATTGTTGGAAAGTAAATTGCTGCATACAATTTAGGATTTTAAAGTGGATTGACAATGCCTTGCTAAATGTTTGCAAACTGACATTAACAAATAGCTTGTAATACTAATAAACTGCAGAAGCGGCTGTAGCAGTCTTTAACTGCATAGATTTCTTCTTTCATAGGTTAAAAAAATAAAAAATTAATAAATTAATCACTGTCTGCGTGTCATGTGTAGCTAAATAGATCACAGTAAGAAACTATTACTGTTTTACTTGCTGGTTGTTCAGTTGCAAGAACAAAAGTTCTTCCAAACTAAGAGTTAATCTTAACCTACTGATACTGTAAGTTTGTGAATGCTGGCTAGCTAAGCAAATCCAAGAGATAATCTCGTATAGTAAATTAAAGCTGTTAGAATAATAGCTTAAAATAGCTATATTGTTGAACAGTCTTTAAAGGTTTTCCAGTCTAGTGAGGGTTTTGTGGGTTTTTTGGTTCGTTGGGTTGTTTTGCAGAACTGAGGGGTTTGGAAGAGAAAACTGATTAGCATGATTCGCAGAGATTGCAAAAACTGAGCTTTTTGGGTTCACTGTGCTAGATTCAACATTGCAAATAAAGAATGCTTAAATATTTGCAACTACTTCTGATCATGCTGAAATGCTTTCCTGGGGGTTCTGCTGGGCTGAGCTGCTAGTATTTATTTTTGCGCAGACTTCAGGAGTTAAGATGTGTAACTGTACATTGAGATCTAATCGTGGAACTTTTTTCTTTAGCAATCAGATACTGTGACAGATGCCGTCTTGTAAAACCAGATCGTTGCCATCACTGTTCTGTATGCGACAAGTAAGAAAATATTTCAAATAAGTGGTTTTCTGAATTAATGGATTTTTTTCTTGACACAGAAGCCTTTGTTTTTTATGCGTAGATTTTTCAGGTTTAATGTTTTGGCAGATAAGCTTTCCCGCCCCCCCTTAGATTTTTTTCAGATTTAGTTTTTATTTACTTATTTCTGTGGAAGTCTGTAACTTATTCTAATTCATTTGATGGCTTTCTTGATGCCAACATGGATTACATGGTCTTATACATTCTTTACATAATGGTTAAAAATTATGAATATTAATAAAGAAATTTCCTTACAAATGTAACCAAAAATAGCTGATAAACAAAAATTTGCTTCTTTTGTTAGAATCTGAATAAAGATCACTACCCATCTCAATCTAATCATGATGTCACTTACATCTTATCCGAGGTAATAAACTTAATATCCTATTTTTCATTGGATAACTTGCAGGTTATTTTTATTTAAAGAAAGAAACAACCAAGCATCCCCCATTTCTAAGTGAAGTCGTAAAATAAAGTTTTTGTTTGTCTAAGATAAAAGGAAGTTCGCCTACATATTCCCCAGAAGTCTAATTGCTTTCTAATTTAATCTTTCTTTTCGGCTGTTCATCTCTCTGACCTTTCTCCAGTTAGCTTGGATGTCTGTGTGTTTCTCCACTCTTGCCCCAGTGGTTTAAATTTCTAACTTTAAGAGACGGGGCTTCCTCAAAGGTTGTTTATTCTTAGCTTTAAGGCTGTTCCAAATACTCTTCAGCTGATAATAGATCAAACCTTCTAACATGATTGTGAGGCAGAGAAGACTTTCCATTTTGTCCAGCGAAACAGCAGAGGCACTGGGAGAGTAACTGAGTTGAGGCAGAAGGAGGATCTTGGTTGTGTTGTATGGGATGGTGGTTGCGATGTAAGATAGAAACATTCTTGTGTCTGAGCAGGGTGGAGGAAAAGGGTGACCTGTGTTATCCTATGAAATGTGAGTGAAATTTGCAGAGTGCCCATAGTTAATATATTTTGCAGAATACCTTAGTTTTGTCCTTACCTTGTCAAAAGTCTCTTGCTTCAATTATATCTGATTTTCTTGTGCATGTTTTATTAATGGAGAGTAATTAATAGCAAAAATGTTTGGGATTTTTCATACAAGGTAAGTACTTAAAAACCTCGTGTGCATCTGTATATATTTTTATAATATATATATATAAAAAAGCAAATCATGTACTTGGAAATATATTTAGTTGTCAGGCTATTCCTGACAAAGAATTAGCCCAGTTTCTAAGGACCTGTCAGAGAATAAACAGTAGTTGAAAAAACTATTCAGAATGAGGACCAAATCCTAAAGCTGAAATTATAGATTGCATTTTCTTAAATCATTAAGTTCTTGACAGAACAAGTGTTTTGGGTTTGGGTTACCTGCAGTTTACTTGTAGGTAAACTGTATTACATGAATTTAAATAGACACCTTTGCTAAATAGATTAGGTAACCAATAGTACATATGGGTAATTCTTAATCTGTATGTGAATAATTTAAATTTGACATGTAACTGTGCTTCTGACCTTTGTTTTTCTTTTGCCTTTTGTGATGCTTGGAATTCTGTTGGGTTTTCTTAAGATGCATTTTGAAAATGGATCATCATTGCCCTTGGTGAGTGTACTATTGGCTTTCTTTTCCTACTTTCTGATTTAGTAAAATAAACTCTTGAAGGTCCTGTTATGAAGGTGATGCTTCACTATTCCTAGAGTTAGATGCTTATGCGAAGTTACTGGTCTTGCAGGACCATTGGGGTTATTTACTGTATGTCCTCTTTTCCTAGTTGTGAGATGTGGAAAGAAGTTCATGTATCGCTTTTCTTAGACGTTTGAGTTAGGGAACTCCCGTGTTTTTACAGTTAGGATGAGGGAGACTTCTGGTCAGTAAGAAAACCTCTTTTAAGAATTGCATCTTTTCTTCATGGATTTTGAGATTGAGTATTACTGTGGCTTAGTTGCATTGAATGATGAAATACTACCCTAGGTTAAAAACCAAGGCTGTGCCTTGTTCCCCTTATGAAGCTCCCAGGACAGCTTGAGTGGGCTTGCTGGAAAGAGCAAGTTAGCTCTGTTAGTTTTATGGGTTCTTTGTTTTCTTTCATTTTTTTCTCTCCTCTCCCTCCCATCCTCCCTCCTTTTGCTACTGTGTCGGCATGCACAATGGTTTTGTTTTCCTGTCGTTTCTCAGCAGCCCTTGGAACCAGTGGGTAGACAGGATGTGTAACTAATTTTATGTCAGTTTGGCAGGTATCTCATGGAAATAATTAAAGATAATTGTTTAGTAAGGTCCAAGTTAAGAGGATTGAGTGGTAGATGGCAGGTCTTCATCACATGAAGCCAATCAGAAAAGAAGAATCTCCTGTGTTGGACAAACTAAATGGTAGATGATTCTAAGCACCTTCTTAAATCAAACTCCTGGGCAGAGGAGACTCCGTCCTGGGGGAGGAAAGGGTGCTGGGCTCCTCCTGTTTGTCTTGGTCCTGACTACAGCCTCTGACATAATGCAATAAGAATCTCCCCTTATTTTGCAGCTGCATGGTAGATACAATTGAAAGAAATATTTAACAATATAGGGTAGAGTTACTTCCTACATATTTTTTTGCTGTAGGGATATCGGCATGTGAAACTTGATGATGCTGAGTCTTAATAGTGTGTTTCTTAAAAAAAAAAAAAAAAAAACCAAACAAAACACAAACAGATAAAACCATTGAATGTGGAACAAATTTTTTGTAAGAAAAAAGGCTGTTTCCTTTTTTCAGCCTTCTTATCGCTGTCTTGTAGACAGCTATAAGAAAAATAGCTGTCAGGCTATTCCTGATAAAGTATTAGTGAAAAGTCTCAATATTACTATTATTATTCAGTATTATACACACTTCTCATAAGCTTTATTTTCTGTTTGGGATTTTTTGAGTTGTCCTGCCTTAGGATAGTACATGAAAATGTCCTTCGTGTAAACTTCAATTTCAGAATAAAAATCCATTGCATCAAATAACAAATCATAAACTGAGCTTTACACAACTTGAGTGTTGTGTAAAAGGGCAGTTAAGTGGTATTTCACTAGGGCATAGACTTCTAGAAAAATAAATTAAATTTTCCTCTCAGTAGCATTGGCTTATTTTACCTGTTTGCAGACTCTTCGTGTCCAAACAATGTAAACATACCCAGTTTGAGAGAGTATTGACATTGCTCATTGTTTTTAATCTAATAAGCAATGGGTGCAAAAAGAAAAAATAGAAATGGAGAAGGTACTTGAAAGACATGTAATGCTTCTTGGTGGAGAATTGTTCCTTTTGTACTCCAAGTAACAGAAATGCACTAGAAAAAGAGGTATTGTCTTGCTTTATTTTTCCTAATTTGAGTGGATGTCCACAGTTCCTTGCTCACCCTGAAAAAAATAACTATGTGGAAGTGACAAGAGAGTTCTGAAATATTGCACAGATGCTGATCAAATAGTTTCCTTTAAAGACCCGTGTTCAAGGGTTCTCTGGGAAATATCATATGGCTATTTTGCCAACAAAAGTAAAGGTGCAAATCAGTATAATGGGTGGGGTTTAGCCCCCCTGAAAACATCATTAGGTCCTGTTTTGCTTTTCGTGTTGGGATTTTTTGGCGGGAGCAAGTTTGGTGGGAAAGAAGGGGGAAAGAACCTATGTGATGTTTAGGGAGAGCAGGGAAACAGTATGGGAATTACTATTTTAATATTCTGCTAGGAGAAGGATTTCTGGAGAGAGGACAGGTAAAAATAACTTAGGGAAAGTAAGACTGAAGCATTTGGAAGGCAGAGGTAGTAAGATGGTAGTCATGTCCTAGCCCCAGGTCAGCTGTCTTCTGCTTTTTGAGAGGCTTCGTTTTGGCTATCACTCCTGCGTTAATGGAAGTGCTGTGATAAACAGAAATATTTAATGCTGATTGCCCTCTAACTGCTCTAAAAGGTTTAAGTGATGCAGAAATAAAAGCATTTGTGATTTCTATGCTAGTGTA